TTGATTTTCTTACAGACATTTCATGACCCAACTAGGAAACATCATCAGTGCTAGAAGGAAGGAAGGAAGGAAGGAAGGAAGGAAGGAAGGAAGGAAGGAAGGAAGGGAGGGAGGGAGGGAGGGAGGGAGGGAGGAGAATTGTGGGCTCTCTGAGCTTGGTTGTTTTCTTGCAGACGTCTCATGACTCTACTAGGTGACATCATCTGGGCTAGAAGGGGAGCAGTAGACTTTGCTCTCTGTCTAGATACAAGTGGTTTGCTCTATCAGTGTTGGTGGGAGTGTTCTTGATGATTCTCCTTGATTCGGCTGTAAAAAAGAACTGCAGGGATGGCTCAGGTTGAAAATTCACGTATGGACATGTCCTACAAAATCCTCGAGACCTTTAAGCACACCCCCTCTCCAGATTCCTTTCAATGGGATTCGTACCTCCCGTTCTGCGTCTTCTCCAAGCACGTTCCATTTGATCTGGTAAAGAACCACGTCAGAAGCTGCGGATGCTTCCCATTCCAGTTGGACCTCACTTCTGGAGAGCTCGGTGACCTTCAGCTGGCTCGGTGGGGGCACCTTTACTGGAGGGGGAAGGGGGGAAAGGGAGGAACAAGGGAAGACCATCTCAGGTTCAGCCTCACATTTCTCCACTACCGAAAATCTCAGCCAACCTGCGGCAGAGCAGATGGTGAGGGAATCTTGGCCTCTTTAACCAGCACCTTCTCCAGACACCAAAGGAGTCAACTTTATTTTGTCTGGAATGGAAGGCCCGGCGTGTAATACTGAACAACTGTAAATTAAAGACTCATTATTTCATTTTAGCAAGGCCAATCTAAGCTGGCATTTTCCAAACAAAGTGAAAATCCAGGAGAAGTGTTGAAAGAAGCAGTAAGTCAAGGAGAAATTGAAGAGACTGGACAGTCACTTGTCTGAAATTGGATAAGGAAGGGATGGGATTCAAATATTTTAACAACTGGTTCTGTGGGCGTGGCTTGGTGGTCATGTTATTGGCTAGGTGTGGCCAAATCAATATCACTCACATCGAGGCACGCATCTCCTCGCCTGGCCTCTCATGACTGTGGGGATGCTGCAGCAGTCGTAAGTGTGAGAAACAGTCATAAGTCACTGTTGTCATTGTAACTTTGAATGGTCACTCCACACAAGCAAAGTACCAGCAAAGGAGGGAAAGAAAACTCCAGAGAAGTTCCTGAGACAGGAAGACTAGTCCTGCCAAGAATGTAATAAGGGTTAACGGAGAGGCAGTTTCTGTAAGCAACACCAGAATGTTTCCTTCCTGCCTTCCTTACAGGATTAGGCCAGTAATTTCTTCCAACAACCGGTTCTCTGAACTGCTTAGAATGTTAACAACCGGTTCTAGAGAATAGGTATGAACCGATAGAATCCCACCCCTGGGTATAGGGTCTCCTGCGAGCAGGGGGCTGGACTAGAAGACCTCCAAGGTCCCTTCCAGCTCAATTCTGATTGATGGACAAATCTCTGGACATATTCAACAATAATTCCAAAATTACAGTCTAAACTTAAAAAAGAAAAATCCCAGGAAAGATATCAGAGTATATTCATGAACTGGAATAGAGCATAATAACAAGATCAGCCAATGAATAGGCATAGCAACTAAGTCAGCCAATAACGACTGTTTGGAAACTGAAACTAAAAGCAGCCTAGGCGTGGCTCTGCATTCAGCTCTGCAACTCTGCAGCTATGTGAAGCTCTGAGTCTGTCTATTGAAAATGAAACCGCTTCTCTCCTCTTGCTTGCCTGCGGAACTAAAGTAAAAGAGAAACTAACTTGCTTGCTGAAGACTGCAGCTCTGCTACTGAAGTTATTTGCAACACGTTTCTGTCTGAGTTTGTTCCAAGTTGGAGAAATCTACAACTGGTTTGTAAAATCTACTTATTATGTTTATAAAGATGCTAAATGAAGCATCAACCATCTGTGTTTATTTTTCTGGCACTGAATGAATGCTGCAAAACTTCGAACAGAAGAGATAAAACCAGAGTCGCCTGACAATGAGATGGGCAGCATATAAATTTAATAAATAAAATGCATTTTTTATTTTCCAAAGGAAAAAGGTACAGGTAGTCCTCGAGTTAGGCAGTGTCCATATAAAGTTACAACGGCACTGGAAAAAGTGACTTATGTTCATTTTTCACACTTATTATTGGGAGTAAGGGTTATTTTATCTAGTGTGGTTATTTTGTTGTATTTATCAGCCACAACTTAAAACTGAAAGGATAAGAACAGAAAGTTTCTTCAGGTAGAAACAGGACAAAACAACAGCTTTCATCCCACCAGGGATCTGGAAGAAGGTAAAAACACCTATGGTGTTTGAATTAACCAAATTCTAAACACTATCCAAATGTTTCTACACTTCGTATTATACTCCAGCTGTCATCCTAAAGCAATTGAACTTAAGCTTCGATCCTTCGTGTTTTCAGAAACCCATCAAAATAACAGAATAAAGAGTTGGTCCAGGGGTATCAAACTGGATTTCTTCGCGGGCCGGATCAGCATTGTAGTTCTCCTCCGCGGGCCGGGGGGGGCGGGAACCAAGGGGGAGATGGCACACGCACCTCCTGCTGGTGAAAACAGGTCATGGCAGGGCCTCCAGGGTCTTGTGCAGCACTCTGCTGGCCAAAAACTGGCTGCACAGGGGCTTTGTGGGGCCTCCACGTGGCTTGTTTTTGGCTGGCAGAGTGCTGCTGGAGGCTGGGAAGGCCAAAAGCAGGCCTCACAAGGGGCCTCGCAGGGCCTCCACACGGCCCATTTTTGGCCAGCAGAGTGCTGCTGGAGGCTGAAAATGGCTCCCAGGGGGTACGTGCCCCACCCCATGACCCATTTGGGCCGGTAGAGGCACTGCAGGGCAGTCCGGTGATATTTCCAGGCCGGCCCCACGGGCCAGATTTAAGCACCCCGCAGGCCAGATCCAGTTCCCGGGCCTTGAATTTAACACCCCTGTTCTAGTCCAACCGTCTGTTCAGGAGATCCTATACTATTTCAGACAAATTGTTGTCCAATCTCTTCTTAAAAACCTCCAGTGATGGAGAAACCACAACTTCTGGAGGCAAATTGTTCTGCTCATTAATTGTTCCCACTGTCAGGAAATTTCTCCTTATTTCTAGGTTGGTCCTCTCCCTGGTTAGTTTCCATCTATGGCTTCTTCTTCTTCTTCTGTCTTCAGGTGCTTTGGAGAATTAGTCAGTCCCCTCTTCTCTGTTGGTAGCTTCTCAAGTACTGGAGGGCTCCCATCATATCCTCCCTCGGTGGTGCAGTGGTTAGAGTGCAGTACTGCAAGCTACTCCCACTGCAATTTGGCAGATCGAATCCCACCAGGCTCAAGGTTGACTCAGCCTTCCATCCTTCCGAGGTGGGTAAAATGAGGACCCAAAATTGTTGGGGGCCATAGGCTGAGTCTGTAAATCGCTTAGAGAGGTCTGTAAAAGCACTATAAAGCAGTATATAAGTCTTTATTGCTAAGTGGGAAGGAAGGAAGGAAGGAAGGAAGAGCCATGGTGGTGCTGTGGTTACAATGTAGCACTGCAGGTTAACTCTGCCAATTGCCAGCAGTTCAATCCTGACCTGCTCAAGATTGACTCAGCCTTTCATCTTTCCGAGGTGGGTAAAATGAAGACACAGATTATTGGGGACAAGAGGCTGACTCTGTAAACCACTGTGAGAGGGCTATAAAGCACTATAAAGCGGTATATAAGTCTAAGTGCTATTGCTATTGCTATATCACCCTTAGTCCTTCTCTTTATTAGACTAGACATACCCAGTTCCCGCAACCCGTTCATCCTAGGTTCCACCATCCAGTCTCCTAATCATCTTTGTTTCTCTTTTCTGTGCTTTTTCAAGAAGGTCAACACCTTTTTTTTTCTGTTTTGGTGAGCAAAACTGGATGCCATATTCCAAATTAGATCTTACCAAGACATTGTAAAGAGGTCCTAACATTTCACCTGATCTGGATTCTACCCCTCGGTTAATGCAGCCTAGGACTGGGTCATTCTGTACTTACATGTCGTAAAATTGCCCATTATTGGAAACGAGTTCCCTTCGTCATAAACGGAGACCACACGGACAAAATATTGTGTCAGTGAGGAGAGGGGCTTCAGCACAGCAAATGAGGCGTTTCCAGGGACCTCCACCTGCAAGGGAAGAGGTAGAGGCTGCAGAAAGCTGTTTGTTTGCTAATTAATTATTTACTTATTACGTAAAGATATGGAAGAGGCATGGTGGTGCAGTGGTAAGAATGCAGTATTGCAGGCTAATTCTGCTGATTGCCAACAGTTCGATGCTCACTGGCTTGAGGTTAACTCGGGTTGACTTCCATGCTTCCGAGGTCAATAAAATGAGGACCCAGATTGTTGGGGACAAGACGCTGACTTTGCAAAACTGCTTAGAGAGGGCTGTAAAGCCCTGTGAAGGGGTACATAACTCTAAGGGCTACTGCGATTGCTATAATGTAGCCTCTGGGTTTGAAAACAACATATCAGACAATGGGTCTTGCTCTAAGCTGATAAGAGCGATCCTGATTACTCGTGGTCACTCACCTCACCTACGTTGCTTCCTCTGCTGGAGGAATACATAACTCGGTGACTTTTCACGGCTTGGGAAACTGCCTCCCAGTTGACATGGACCGACATATGGCTGATGTTGGAGAAATGCAAATAGCTTGGAGGGCTCAGGGCCACTGGAAGAAATGGCGTATGTGTCAGGTGTGAAGAATTAGGACCATACATTAAGTTCCAGTTAAGATGATTTATTGCTCATGTCTTGACAATAGTCAACTAAAGGTCATCGCTAAATTGGTGATGGATAAGAGTCAACAGAATTCAAGAGGGGTTGGGTTTAGATTGCTTGTCGGAATGTAAGGACTCCAGGCTAATTCCTCTCTTGACTCCACCCTCATCTATCCTCCAACTGTCCTTCTCTTATTTCATGATTTATAACACATCTACTCTAGTCTGAAGCCAATCCAACTCATGCAACAAGGTCAGTGAATAGGACATCATTCAGAAAAGAGTCTAGGAGTCTTTTCTAAATAATCCTTATAATCCCCCACACCTGCATAGAAATTCTTACCATTTCTCAAGTTAAACTGGGTTTACAAAACCCTCTGAATCAGGGGTGGCAAACTAGCGTTGTCACGGCAGCGTCACATGACATATTGTGACTTTTCCCCCCTTCGCTAAACTAGGCGTGGGCGTGGCCAACGCATGATGCATCCAGTCTGCGGACCGCAAGTTTGACCCCCCCTGCTCTGAATCAACCCCGTATTCTGAATTTCCACAAGTCCATGAACTATAAAGAAACCAACTAGGTTGAATTTGCATAATGCTTAAAAACACAATCACACTAGCCAAGGTTATACTAGCCATTTTTTACATTAATTTTTTTTTTACAGACACATCTGCTGTGTCATGACTTGCCTTTTAAAACATGTTGTGTGAATACTTCCTTTCAGTTCAGTTTAAGGTCATTTCTTGAACAAAAAAAAATTGTTCAAGAATTTGAACAAGAAGTTTTGTTATCTCTCTTTAGGAGTCCAGTTACAGATGGTTGGGAGCAGATCACTCATAATTGTTGCACCCATCTACTGGCATTTCTCTCTAACTAGAAAGCCTCCAATCAAAGCTGTCAAGATTTCCTTAGATCCTTGTGGGTGAAGAAGCTATGGGCCAGAAAAATACATCGCACGACTTACAAGTAGTTTCTTGAATACTTGCAGGGTTGCTGGCATCTTCTCCATACATCGCATAAACTGCTAGGGAGTATTCGGTGCTAGGAGTCAATCCCCTGATCCAAACTTCTGGGTGTTCAACTTTCAGCTGAAAAGAAAGAGTGAAATATTTGTTGGAAGGAAGGAAGGAAGGAAGGAAGGAAGGAAGGAAGGAAGGGAGGGAGGG